CAAGTAAAACATTTACATTTGATTATGTATTTGGACCAAACTCAAAACAAGTTGATATTTATAATTTGGTTGCTCGTCCAATTGTTGATGCTGTACTTGAAGGTTATAATGGAACAATATTTGCCTATGGACAAACAGGCACTGGTTAGTATCCATCATCTTTTATTGCTACACAAATTTATATTGAGCATAAATCTTTGTTTTTCTATTCTTAATTAGGCAAAACATTTACAATGGAAGGAAAAAAAGATGATAATAAAAGTTATGGTATCATTCCAAATTCATTTGCACATGTTTTTCTTGAAATTTCAAAAGCTTCTAAAGATGTTGGGTAAAGTGAAACAAAAAAAAAACAATATTATTGTAATATATTTTATTAGATATTTGGTTAATGTCTCATATCTTGAAATTTATAATGAAGAAATTCGTGATTTACTTGGTAAAGATCGTGATAAAAATTTAGACGTAAATAACTCGATTTAAAACCAAAAGACAAACAATAAAAAGTTTCTATTTAAACAATTTAGATTAAAGAACGACCAAATGTTGGCGTTTATGCTGATGGTTTATCAGCTCATGCATGTCATTCTGCAACAGAAATAGAAGTATTAATGCGTGCTGGCAGTTATAATCGTAAGATTTGTTCTGTTTGGAATTTGATTTATTATAAAATACTGTTATATATTAGGTCATACGGGTCAAACTCTTATGAATGAACGTAGTAGTCGATCTCATGCTATATTTACCATTACAATTGAATGTAGTGATACAGGTCCTGATGGTGGAAAACGTATTCGAGTTGGTAAATTACATATGGTTGATTTAGCGGTATGTAAAAAAAAACGTGTTTTTTTGTTTAAATCAATGAATATTTATATGAATTTAACTATGATAATCATTTTTTTAGGGCAGTGAACGTCAATCAAAATCGGGTGCTGAAGGAAGCACATTAAAAGAAGCAACAAAAATTAATTTATCATTATCAACATTAGGCAACGTTATATCAGCATTAGTTGATGGAAAATCAACACATATACCATATCGAAATTCAAAATTAACTCGTCTTTTACAAGATTCATTAGGTGGAAATTCAAAAACAGCCATGGTAAGTTATTTGTCTTTAGTTTTTATACTTAAAAAAAAATCTAACAAAATTAAAAACAAGCTAAAAAAAGCTTTGATAAATAACGTTTAGTCATGCATAATTACAAATTCATTTAATCATGTGTACTCGTATAGAAAAGACGATCTGATATATAAAAGAAAACGTTTCTGGCTAGATTCTAGTTGTTCTGATTTAATTTTGCTCAACATTAATTTAAAATGAAATTTTTGAATTCTTGATACACTCTGACATTCATTTAAGTTTACTAAAAATAAAAAAAAAATTCAGTATATATTCGGTTTACTAAGCAAATATGTATTATTACCGCCTAAAGCTATTCTTCCGCATTATCTCTATTCGTGAGAAGTTATTTATAGAATTTAATCTCAAATTTATGAATAATACATTCTATCGATAATGCAAGTAATAATGCATCTTAATAAAAACAATGGCTCTAGATGAAATAACAAACAATCTAAATAGATTCATGCCAAAGTTTTCTTCATTATCATATTGTTTAATAGATAAATTGACGAATGGTTGATATTGTTGAAAAAATTTTTCAGAAAACAATCAGGAAAATTTTAATCGACTCTTGAAATACATATTATCAATGTCATTTGTTTACAACATGATTTTATAAAATAAAAATATTTATATTTCTGACCTTGGGCATTTCTTTTGGCTTATTTTAATGTAATCGATAAACATTGAGTTATTCTATATACTCTGTAAAAGTCGGTCCTATAGATCTGGGTTACGCCCACTTATTATTGAAAAATTAGTGTTAGTGATTTAATTCAAAAAAAAGGATAAATATTTTTAGTCGGAATGTTTACCGACACCATTCCTGGAAGTCGAAACAGTATTTGTGAGAACTAAATAGTGTGTTTGTGTAGAAAACACTTCAGGCTACAAAATCTGTACACAAATTTTTTTCTTGAACATGCTTAGATTTTTTTTAAATATTGAGTTTATTTGTTGTTAGCGATGTGAATGAATACAAATATAGAAATCAAAAATCTTCTTGAAAGTGAATGAGAAATCCAAAAGCCAATGCAACATGGTTCAAGTCCTTTTTGAAGAGTACGAAATGATAGGAAAATAAAAATTTTCATTCTGAGAAACAAATATATTTCTAAAAATCGGTTATTGAGCAGCAATTTCCCAGAACGTGGTCTTTCTGAAAATTTTACCTTACATATAGTTTAATGCGTTGATTCTATTCCGAATTTCTTAGACTTTTCCATCATCAGATTAGAGAGATATTCGCTAACTACATTTTAATGGAATAACTAATTAGATAGCTAACTTTAATTAAATGAGTAAGCGGATATTTCGACATATACAGTATATGATAGAAATAGCATTACGACAAAAATCTACAATAAGCTTATTTTAAGTTTTTTCTTCTTACGAATAATGTAAACAATACTGCTATCAAGTGATATTTTTAGCTTTGCTAAAGAATTATCAGTTGCCATCAAAGACGATAAGAAGCAGAGATCAAAACAAACTATATAGATCTACATAGAGCAAGTTTTCAAAATTAGTAATCAATTGAAATTCTGAAGTTTCTATCTCCTTGCAAAAATCAGTGTTCCATGTTTGAAAATTCAAAATTTTGTAACCATTGACTTTTAAACAGTAATTAATTCTGAAAATTTATTCTATGTATATCAATATAGTTTGTTTTGATTTCTTCTTATTATTCTCGAAGATAAAAACTGAAAACTATCTATGAAACGCTTTATACGTATTTTTCTCACGTAACAATAGGTGAAATTTATTTAGTGAAACCAAAAATATAATTTGACATTACTATTGATTGACCTTATTTATATTAAAAAAAAAACAACTTTAAATAAGTTTCTACTTCTAATAAAAAAATCAGTCCATTCAAGCGAATTGAAGGAGAAATATTTCAATTGTTTTTATCGTAGTACTATTTATAGTCTATTCTATATGAAAGAGAAAAACAACTTGCTTAAAACAAATAATCCTTAATAAAAAAAATCAAAGATGATCATGTCCTGTTTCTACTGCTTTTGCCTACATATATCTAAAAATAGATGCGAACCAAAATTCTTACATGAAATAACTTTTTATATGTCTTCATAAATTTTTCATTGATTTAGATTGCAAATATCGGTCCAGCTGATTACAATTATGATGAAACTTTAAGTACACTTAGGTAAAATATTTATCAATTTTCTATGTTAATTTCAATGTCAATTATTAGATATGCAAATCGAGCTAAAAATATCAAAAATCATGCACGTATTAATGAAGATCCTAAAGATGCTATGATAAGAAATTTAGAAGATGAAATTCAACGTTTACGTAAACAAGTTGAAGAAGGTTTATTATTCTTTCAATGATGTTTTTCTTTTTCTTCAAACCATATTAATTTATATATTAATTAGGTGGTGGTGGTGATGACGATGAAGGATCAGGTTCTGATATAAGTGAAATTGATGAAAATGGTCAACGTATTGTACGTAAACGTCCATTACGTGTTCGTCAAGAACGTAAAGAAGAAATTGAACGTGAAATTGAAATTGAACGAAGAAAATTACAAGATGATACAGAAAAATCACAAAAAGAACGAGATAAAATAGCTCGAGCACTTTTAGAAAAACAAGAAGAACTTCAAGCAATGTAAAAATAAATAATAATAATATCTTTTTGTTCAAATTTTTATTTTTTTATTCCATAATAGAAAAGAAAAAGATGATCTTGAACAAAAACTTCGACAATTAGAACGAAAATTAATTGTTGGTGGTGAAAATCTACTTGATAAAGCTCAAAAACAAGCACAATTATTAGAAGAAAGTGAACGTGAATTAGAAACACGTGTACAAAATGAAGAACAATTAAGAAAACAACTTCAACAAAAAGAGGTTTAATATAAATATTCAACAACAAGAAAAAAACAATATTAATAATTATTCTTTAGGCTGAAACACTTGATGTTCAAGTAAAATATGCAACATTAAAAGAAGAAGCAGAAGATTTAACAAGAAAATTAAAAATTTTCGGAAAAAAATATCAAGAAGCAAAACGAGAAGTGTGAAGAAAAAAAAGAAGCTTTTAATTTTAATCTATAAAATTGATTTGCTTTTTCTGTTCTGTAGTTAATGGATCTTCAAAAGGAAAATCTTCAACAACGTACAGAATTAATTGAAGCTAATTCACAAGCATTTCGTGAATTACAAAAACAAGAATTTATTATTGGAAGTTATATACCTGAAGAATATCTTGTATGATTTGTGTTTGGTTTTTATTTTAAATAGATAATGATAAAAATTTCTTTAGAAATTAATTCAAGAGAATGCTGTATGGAATGAACAATTTGGAGAATGGAGTCTCAAATCAATTGCATATACTGGAAATAATATTAAAAATAAAGAAAAATCAAAACAAGATCAAGTATTTTATTTAAAAAATTATCAAAACAAAATTTAATGATATATTTATTTTTAGAATGATGATTTAAATTTAACTCATGTTTATTTAGCATATACAGCTAAAGGTGCTGAAAAAGCTATGCGCGATTTTATGGATCGAAAGAAAAAAATTCGTGCTAAAGAAAGAAAAAAGTATGAAGTTCAAAAAGAAAATTTTATTCATTCAAAATAATCTTTTATATTTATTTTAATTAGAAAAACAGCAAAAGAAACAAATGACGATCGTTCAACAACAACAGTACGAAATTAAATATGTGATTTAAAAGTTTTTTTTGTTTTTGTTTTGATATTTAATTAATCCGTCCATTTTGTCTTGTTTTTTTTTATACAAAATAAAACAATAATCTCTTGTTTTTGTTTGTCTTCTTTTTTTTGATGTATAGTCATTTATTTATTGTATTATAAATTCCAGATAAATTTTTATAATGAGTTCACATACAGTTGATATTGGTTCAAAATCAGGCAAATTTAAATATATTTTAGTTCAACAAGGACAAAAATATATTCTTCGTGGTGATTCAAGTTTGGAATATCATGGTACCATTGTTTGGTTTTTGTTAGATTGTTTTTTTTTAGTTAATTACATTTGCTTTTTTTTTTTGAATAGATCAAATTTTTGAAAAATTAAAACAAGATATGGGAGATAAAGCATCAGATGAATTAAAAGTTTTAGGAGGAGGAAAAGTTCAAGTTGATTTCGAAAAAAAACAAATCAATGTATTCGGCGACTCTCAAGTAATTTTTCTATAAGTATAGAATAAATCTATGGTTATTCAATCGTTTTTTTTTCATGTTAATTTGGTTGGAAGTGATCAGAAAACAACTTTGGTTGTTGGATTTTATTTGAAATAGTTGAGAGTGAGAACGTTTTTTGAAAGTTTAATGCAGAATTACAAAATTTTTAAGCTCATATTGCGTCCATTAGTAGCCAATCATTAGACAGGAACAGTTTCCAAAGGACTCGTCTTATGATTGAAATATGATGAGGTCAAAATACTGTCATAACTTGAATAGTTGTCCTTGGATGTTCCAAGAAAATGCTCTAAATCTTGGATATGTAAAGTGAAATTTGTTAACTTTTTCCGGCTACAGTTGTTTTCTGATTATTTCCTACTTAGTTATCATGAAACAAGGCGATGGAAAAAAAAGCAGAAATGATTGAATACTGATGGATTTACTCTATAATTATTTTTTTTTTAAATTTTATATATTAAGTCATATGGTGCTGCTGATCATGCTAAAGCAAAATCATTACTTCAAGAAAAATATCCTGATTTTAATATTTCAACTGATAAACCAGCTGATCCAAGCAATAAATAAAATGAGAATATACAAGCATTTTTAATTTTTTTTTTAAGAGTCTTCTTTTTTTTGTTTTGTGAATCTCAAGAAGATATTTATAAAAATAATAAACAAACAAAAGTTAATCAAGCAATTGGTTTATTTTATTCTTTTATTTTTGTAAATAATGTCATTTGTACAGATATCTAAAACATTGTAAACTAACATGATTAATGAAAATATTACAAGTTTAGTGTTCTAGTCAACGAATATTATTGATGAGATTATCCTAAGTTTAGATTTGTACATTGTTCTCTAGAAATGAATCGAGCTTTTTTCTCATAAGAAAAAAAACCGTTCCGAATAACATGCTGCTTTAAATGTGATATGTACTAACTTATCGAGTTCAATAAATATACATAACGTCTGGTAAAACACTGTATACGTCAATGTTTGTTATTAAATAATGATTATGAATCGTGTACCCTTAAATCATTATGAGACTTGAGTTTTGAGTATTTTTTTTATATATTTAACATAAAAATACTCTTGAATCCTGTTTTAAAATAGAACTGATTAATGTGCATAGTCTATTTATTGAAATAAATCGTCTATGTCGCGTTAATTGAACTCAACTGATTGAGTGCCTGAGTAATTCTTTGCCAGATACAATGTACATTTGATTGTTTAAGACTCGAGTGTAGCAATGCATACTACATAATAAATGTTATACTCATGAGGCCTAACTAATGGGTCCATATTCGACGCGAAAAGGCATATAATATCTAAAGATCTTACTTAGCGATAAGGCAACAGCTGGCTCATTAATGAATGCCTTTGAGACAAAGCATTTTTTTTTTCTTCTGTCTAAATTAAATCATTTACGATTGTTTGGAAATGACCTTGTTTAAAAAGATATTTTTGTTTAAGATAAACAAATATTTACCTTACATGTTAAAGAATTAAAATTAAAAAAACAAATATATATCTTTATTTGTTTAAGATAATCATGAGTAAAATACTTCCAATTGTGAATATTGGTACAAAGTCAGGCAAATTCAAATATATTCTTGCTCAACTTGGTCAAAAATATTTAATTCGTGCTGATTCGACAGCTGATTATCATGGTAATTTCATGATTTATACAAAGATTTTATTTAATTTTTGTTTTAATTTGTTCAGAAAAAATATTCAAAAAACTTCAAGATGAAGCTGGTGGACCATTAAATGATTTATATATATTAGGTGGTGGAAAAATGCAAGTTGATTTTGAAAAGAAAAAAATCAATCTATTTGATCAATCAGAAGTATTTAAATAATTCAATAATAAATTTCAATCAATAATTTTCATTTCTATATTAAGGCATATGGTGCCGCTGATCACAGAAAATCAAAAACAATTCTTCAAGAAAAATATCCTGATTTTACCATCGCACTTGGTCCTGCTGATTCAAATGCTAAAAATTAATACTAAAAAACAAAACAACATTTTCCCACATCTTTTTTTCATAATATAGTTTTATGGTTGAACTTTTGTTTCATAAAAACATTTTTTTTTTAATCATGCTATAGAAAATATAACTATTCGAGCATTAAAACAAGAAATCATATTATAATATGAGTCACGTCATGTTTTGGAAAATAAAAACAACATGGTTATATTCCATAGACGTAATGTGAGTTTGCATAATGATTGTGTAATAACTTTGTCACTAATCATACAAAACTCGAAAGAAGAAAACTATAAGTTTTTTTTCATTTTCTACGTCTTTCGCCTATTCATAAAACGAAATCAACATGGCTGACATTGATGATTTTGAATTAATCAATGATCCAGTATTATTGAACGAACAAACATTTGAATTTATAGATGTAAATGATGCTACTGGAAAAAAAACAAATACTAATAAGCCAACAACACCAAGTATTGTTGTGCCACCTCTTGTTTCAAAACCTTTAGTTAATGAAATTCCTCAAGTTGTACAACAACAAACATCTAATCCTATTGTTAATCCATCAGAATCAAAAATGCCAGTTTCATCGACTGAAACAATGACTCCTATAATACCTTTGGTTCAAAATCAAAAGACAGTACCTCCACCAGCTCCAACACCAATAATAATTGCTCCCATACCACCATTACCAAAAGCTCCTGCTCCACGACGTTATGGTGATGCTGCATTAATTCCTCATAACTTAGACGAAACTGTAGATATCGATGCTATTATAAATAAATCAAGAAACAATCATCACAAAACTTTAATTGCTAGCGTTCGACAACAACAACAAAGTGATATTCAAACAGTACTTGAACAACGTCGAAGTTCACTTCAGAAAAAATAACTTGCTTAAATCAATATATATTGAAGCGTCTACAGAATAAAAACGAACGACCATTAATACAGATGTTATTCCATTTTTTTTGCTTCTGTCTGTTTTTCCTCTTATCTTAGATTTATTATATACACTATTTGATCATTCTCACACATCATCATTGTCTATCAAGCGATGCAGCATTTTTTTTGTTGCTTGATATAGCACAGCAGCTTTTTTCCAGAATAAATATATTGATATATATATGCATATATGTCTCTTGCTTTCCAAATAAGAAAGAAATATGGGACAACAACACATATGTTTGTATTTTTATTGCATACTCTCTATAGGTTATCCATTGTACAAGGCAAAAGAAAAATCTGATCGATTCCTTCCTGTTTTCTCCCTCTCTCTTCCCCCCCTATCTATAAAAAGAGGGAATATCTACAAATGCGCTCTTTTCATCACAAATACCATCTACTCTTTTCTCGTTGCAATCATAGACCTTTGAAAATAGTAAGTATATTGCAGATCTGCATATTTGTTATTAATACATGTTCATTCTCAGTGTCAAGTGGCTCAGCTTTTAGTAATGTACTTAAAGCAAAGGAAGATTTGCAAAAATCTCCTGAACAATTAGAACAAGAAAAACGATCAGTACTTGCACAACGTGTACCAGCACTAAATCTTGATGGCAAAACAAAAGAAGATCTTATTGAAAAGGTTATTTTTAAAGAAATCTTTTCATAAATAATAATAGTAATAATCATAATTTTTGTTTCAAAAAAGGCAAAACAATTTCATAATATTCTTCAACAATTACATGGTGCTATTTATGAATTATCCGAACGATTTGAACGACAAAAATATGATGTTAGTTATAAAATTCTCTGTTTACAATAAATAAATAAATGACATTTATTTTAGATGGTCGAATTAACTGAACGTGCACGTCAAATTGAAAAAGGGTAATGAAATAATTTCTATTATATTTTCTAAATATTAGATTAATATTAGAAAAGCTAAAACTCGTAAATCAAATATTGTTCATACTGGTCTTGGAGGTGGTCTGTAAGTATTAATTTATCATTATAAAAATAAAACAAGAAAATTTCTCTTTCATAAATTTCAGCTTCTCTGGTGTCAATGATGTAACAGCCCAAGCACCGGTTTGTTACTGAATTTTTACTTTGTTTCTTTGTTATCTCTTATGATTTCTGTTTAGCCGAAAGTATCACTTTTCAGTCGATATGAACGTTGTAAGTAATCAATTTAATGTTTTTTTTGTTCAAATAAAAAAAATACATGATGAACAATTATATTTAGTAACTGATCGTCGTACATTCAAAGATCGTCGTGATGTATGGGCTGTAGAAAAACAATCGAACAACTTTGTTCCCGAACGTCCAAAAGCTAAGATAAGACATAAATCATCTCCAACTGCTGACTCTGTACCACGAAAAAGTAAACATGCAGCTAAAAAACAGGAATCTGAAGAAAAACATGAAGAATTAGTAAATCAAATTCTAAATTAATATTATACTCTTTTTTAATAATCTTGAAATTTTATTTTTCAGCCTCCTCCTCCACCTGCTGAAGAACCTGAAGAACCAGCTGCTGAAGAAGAACCTGCCCCAGCAGAAGAACAACATGAAGAAGCAGCAGCCCAAGAAGAAGAAGAAGAAGAAGAATGAACACTTAATTAAATGAATGTCATACCTGCTTATACTAGATAGCCTTTTTTTATCTTTTCCCTTAAAATAAAATTTTTATTGAAATTTTATATACACAAAAATATTTAGAAGAAAAATAACAAGAGGAACGTATTTAGTAATGATTTTGTTCATTTTTATTCTATACTTCATCTTCTTCACCTGACATATTTTCTTCATTAACTTTTTCATTTTCAAATGTGTCATGTTTTGTTTCGCTGATTGATGCTCGTTTTATAACTGGACGTGTTGGTTTCGATGGTTTCCAACCTTTACGCCATCTTTCTCGTAGAAAAAATAAAACATGATAACTTCCCACCGAAGATATTAAAAGAATATAAAATACTTTCATTGGTAAATTCCAAAGGTTATATAAAGTATTAATACCAATATGAATTTGTCTACATATTTGATAATCATTATCATCAACATCATCATCATTATTAGATGATAAAACACATAATCGAATTGTTGATGGTTGATTTATTTTAAAATAAAATGTTTTTGTATATAATTCAATCATCGATTTGATAGATTCATTTTCGGCTTCATAAGAACCAATAATAAGAATGTCTAAAGGTATTATTTTATAATAAGCTGTTAAATTTGGAATGTTACATGTTAAATTATAATTAGCAATAAATTCAATAGGAAATTTAGTTGGAATTATATTTGATTGATAATTGGCTAGAATAATAAATGATAGAGAACAATTCGAAGTATTGAATGGTAAATTATCACAGTTAGTAAGTAAAAACTGTATAAACAGTAATGGTAAAGTAAGTAAGAGAGACATGTGTATTGTACGTTGCTAGCAATAGAAATGATTATTAAACGCATCGCTATTGTTCGTTATTTTCGCTTCGGTCGAATGAATTATTGATTAAAATAACCGATGATTCAAAGTATAAATTTATACACCGAGTTAAATTGAAAAGTGAAGAGTTCAAGCGTGAATAGTAATAACATATATGGATAGAACAATTTTTTTTGTTAATGATATCAATCGAATTATTCGATATATAAAAATGAACATTTATTAAATGGACTAGAAATATTTATGGGAACTCAAAAGAAAATTTCTAAACTATGTTTGATCAATTTTAATATTAATTATTTTAATAAAAATAAATTAACTTCAAAAAATTCTTTATTTCTATTACTTTATAATAAAATCAATAGTAACCAATAGAAATATTTATAAAAAGAACAAAAAAAAATGTTTATGCACACGTTGATTGACATCGATTATGATGTGTTAATAATCCTTATCGAATATCAAGGTAATCAAGAATGTGTGATTGATCTGTCATCATTTACCCATCACTCATTGTATCCATATCTCATATCTTATTCATGTGTATATTTAATAGAACAAGCAATCAATAGTCTCTTTGTTTTGTATTCATCGTACATTTTATTTCAAGCTCGACATATTTGCTTTGCATGATATTTATATTTTTGTTGTTAACTGATTTATTTATGTATCTATTCGATTAGAATTGTACATATTAAAGTAATGATTAATGTTAGCACAATTTTTCGACCGAATGAAGCAGTTGATATGTAATCAGCTAGAAATTCAATGTCACCAGATAAATCTTTTAATGATAATCATCAGTAACTACAAAAATGACAATCATTATCAATAAAATCTTTCAATTGTATGCATGTTATCACCAATGTGAATATGCATTTAATACTTAACCATCAATGCTGTACGATGTAATATCATCACTTGATCTTGATAGCTTATCTCTCTTCTAAAATATTTATTGACAAATTGACATTTTTTAATTCAAGCTGTCTGACTCATAAACCGTGCAAACTGGCTGAGCCACTAATGAATAACGGATGGACGGCTCTCACGAGACTGCTTTACCATTTTTGTGCATAACTCGTCAGTTTACACGTTGACTAATCAGGTCTGTCATTTTTTTTTTCGTCTGAAATATAACGACGCTCCCTTTTTATTTCTTCGTTTCTCTTTATTTTTATTGTTTTGAAATTTTTTAACATATATGCACTTTCACAAAAGTACAACGTAGTAGTCTATATATAAACATATCAGCTTCGCAAAATTACTAAGCACAGAGAATAGTCAATCGATAAAAAAGTTTATAGCAAAATATTTACCAATAAAACTTGTATTCACCTGGTAGGTAACACCTGATTGGTTCGTGACTGTTTAAACAGCCAAGTAATATACGATTCAAAAAGAAATGATTCAACGTGTGTGGTGAGTCGGATTTGCTTAGCAAATTGCATCCGAGAAAAAAATTTGTCATCAACATTTATGTCTCTCATGCAAAAACTTCAGTAAATATTTTATTAGAATATGTTTTAAGCCATTGAACATTTAGTTGATACCTGTAATTAACATAGAAAAACTATTGATTAATCGTTAACAAGGAAATGACGAATAGAAATCTGATATTTCTCATGCTAATAAAAATGATCATCTATTCATTGCGTTATGCACTCTATATAAAACAAGAAAAGAAATTTTATTTCAAATAGTACTTAAAGTAGAGGTACAAATTACAATTAAAAAAATCATACAACGGAAAAACAACTTTTATAGAATTAATTTCTACTATTACGATGCATGTTAGTTCTATCAGAAGTGTTGTCATAAGTGTAAGATAGTAGTATACTACGGGAGCGTTAATGATGTTCGTTCTTGTCGACATTCTATATTTGTTATGATAATCTGCACGATGTCTTTTCGGTTGATCTTCTACATATTTATTAATCAGTACGATGTTCCTCTAATAAGTGTTATATAAACGATTATCCATCGTACTGATTGGTTTCGTCTGTTTTCTCATGTAGACATAACTACTCATGATGCCGTATATGTATAGTAAGTGTATAAAGAGCTTTATGATCACAGACATATATATATAGTAGAAAAACGAAGAATCTATGTCAAATTGAATGGAATATAATTTATTAGATCTTGATGGTGCAGAAAAAAAGAGAGGTGATGATTCACTTTAGAAGAATGCAGCAGTACTTAAGTTTGATCTTTCTATAAACTTTCAGTAAATGATTAAGTTTTTACGAGAAACCTATAAATGTTATTGATAGTATTATCAAAGATAATCAAATACAAAGATTCTTAGTTATTTTTGATAACTACTATTTTCGACATCACGGTAATACAGGATAAAAACTATTTCTAAAACTTTGTCTTGCTTTTGATCAAACTTGAAGATCTAGAACGAAAATTCGCTCAGAATCGTTAAACAAGTGATTTATAATATACACAGAAAAGTTTTGAATCCTATTCACTAAATTTCAATATACTTAGCATTTGAAAACGTTATGAGAAGGATGTCGACGCAGATCCTGTGAAATGTAATGTATACAGCGTCGTTCGAAGCAGAAAGCTGTGAGACAAACGAAATACAACTATTCCAATTTGCGGAAAATCACCATTTTCCTCTAATTTGATTGTTGCAGGAAGTGACTAAACGTATTTATCTGAACGGCAGTCCAACTTGTTCGCTTCAAATTTTGGATTACTGTTTCGATACCTATGATAAGTAAACTTTCACGAAATAGTTCCTATAGGTGTCATAAGGCATGAAAGAATGAAGTTTACGATAATATGGTTTGTTGAAATGTTGTTTTTAAAAGAAAAAAAAATGTATAATAAATAATAAAACACATTGGTCTAACACGTCTAATTCGAATATGTTAGTTTTGAATATTGAAAAATTAATTTATTAAAAACTATAGATATTTAAATAGGATAGTTTTTTTTTTTATACATAACGACAATTTTTTTTTGTATGATGTTTGTTCAGTCAATGAGTTTGTCAATTACTATTTATGTTAACGAAATCATCTATTCTGATCGATCATATTTATTCAATTGTATGAATACACTTTATGATTCTTTTCTATTTTAAAATTACATTTTGTAATAATATATGAGCAGCAAGACAGTCAACACGAGTGTACTTTCATCATGAATAAGGCTAACTCATGAGTTTATATGATTTTAATTAATAGATATATAAAAAGAATTAATCAATATTTGTCACTAGAATAATTATTTTTTTTTTCGACACCATTAGGTCGAAATACTGTTTTTTTTTACTAACAATGACAAGACAGAAATGATCTTGAATAAGATCATGTACAAATTATGGATTTTTATTACTAAAGAAAATACAGTCATTTGAAAGTCATCCGAGGTCATGTACAAACATCAGGATTTTTTTTAAAGAAAAATCGCCGATGACTTTCATTCGTAACATGACTAATAAAATAGTTTGGGTCGTTTTCACTGACCGCAATAGAAGAAGTAAAAAAGAATGATATTGACTAGTGGCTACGATGCTTTGTTAGATAATAAAATAATATATTTTTATCACATGAAAGAATATGAAAGTTATTTGCAATCGCTGAAAAGCAAAAATTATAAGAAATGCTCTTCAAGAAAAATCAATAGAATAGTAAGAATTTACTCAGAATTCAACAAGAATATCAAAGATAGCTTTAATTCCATTTTCAAGTTATAATTATTATTGATTAATATAATTTATCAAGTTTGAAATTTTTTTTCTCAATAAAAAACACGATTGGTCGATGGTAGTTAAGTAACGTATACTCATGTAGACAAATACAATATTCTTTTAGATATTATCTGACATCATCTTGTCTATGTCAAAATGAATGTATTTATATGCATCTAATACAGACTTATATTAGATTGACGGGCAACAATGACTATTGATTTTTACAGCTATTCATTTAATAAATGTCAATAAACCGACCAACGTCGTTTCAATTTTTAATTTCTAATATAAATTGTTGAAAATAGTGACATTGATTTAATTTTTGTCAAAATTAGTATTTCATCTATCATATGTCAAAATAATACAAAAGTTTTTGATAACTTCAAACAAAATTGTTATATCTTCATATTCAAAAATCTTTTAACAAGAAGAATAGCTGCAAAAACATTATTATATTATTTTTCAGATTTTTAATCCTCTTGGTACTAGAAGATGAATAAAAACCAATGAATTATTCAATTTAATATTCTTTTATTTAATCTCATAATATTTTGCGAACGTAGTATAAAATTCTTATTCTTGTATAAGTGAATGAATTCGAAGACTTAAAAGGAAAAGTGAAATAAAAATCAAAGTTTTATATATTCAACATTTCATTAGATGTTTCCATCAGGTAACTATACGTCCATTCACAATATATTTTGCATTAATATTTCGACAACGTTTGATCCATAAAGAAATTAGCCAAAGACAAGTTGGTATAAATATAACAATACTAACAAACATTATAATAAGCAAAATAAGTGTATCAATACATATTGGTTGCACATCATTAAATGGATTTATTTCGAATTCTTCATTAGAACATGAACCATAATTTTTACTGAAAACATTCCAACAAGGAGAACATTTTCGACATGTAATAGTAGATGATTCTTATGATTATAAAGAAATAAATATTTATTTTAAATAGTAAATTAAAAATTACTCACCACTCATATTTAAATCACTATAACATACAGAAACCAATACAATGAATATAGTGTTTAATAACACAAGTTGCATCCTGGCTATCTGATGAAATTTGTATATGTATGTGATTGTGAAGACTATCATTATCATAGAATACGGAATGAAATAACGTGTAAAAATGCTAACTATTTGTTTTTATTCTATATCAATACATCATTTAACAAATATTTCAAATAACTAAAATAATACAATAGATTTAAGCTCAAAAAGAAATATTTCAGTCATAGATTTAATAAATTATATTTGTATTTTGAGAATTATGCAGAAAACTTCAAATAAGCTATAAGAGTTATATTCGAATCAAACGTTTTCATCAACAATTAATGACATCTACTGAAAAAGAAAATGTTTGACTAATCATTGAAAAGGTGATATTGTATGGAAACAATAATATTACCAACAGTGAATCTTGTTGATCAGTACTGATTTGAACTTGAGTATATTAAGAAATTAATAATACAAAAATTTTTAGTTATCTTTCTTTTGATTCTTTTATTTAGATAATTTTGAATGGCACTCTTTCGTTACACTCTACCTTTAACTCGACTAACTGTTTCATCAGTATTGCCTAGTCGAGGAGCTGTGACAGCACCAGCTACTTCTTCATCAAATACTGTCGAACATACAACAAATCCACCTATTCAAAAGGAACAAGAACAAAATGTAATAACAAATTTATCACCATATAAAACTGTACCCGGTAAATATTATGGTGATAGTAAAGTTGAAGTTGCATTAGCTCGTTTGGATGATGTACAAAATTTAATTCGTCGTGGTTCTATTTGGCCATTAACATTTGGTCTTGCTTGTTGTGCTGTTGAAATGATGCAAATGGCTGCTCCACGGTAAATTTTTATTTTATATTATCTTTCGGTCTCTTTTTATCTACTTAATCATGTTATTAGTTATGATATGGATCGATTTGGTGTTGTCTTTCGTGCTAGTCCGCGTCAATGTGATCTGATGATTGTTGCTGGTACACTTACTAATAAAATGGCTCCAGGTAAGAAAAATTTTCTTATATCATATTATATTTGTTTTCGGTTTGTTTTTTTTCACGTTCTAGCTATTCGAAGACTTTATGAGCAAATGCCTCATCCAAAATGGGTCATTTCAATGGGTTCATGTGCTAATGGTGGTGGTTATTATCATTATTCATATGCAGTAGTATGTGAACAATTATTTAGTTTTACAAGCTTTGAAAAAAAGGAATAAAAATTTGTTTTTCTTTTTAATAGGTTCGTGGTTGTGATCGTATTATTCCAGTTGATATTTATGTACCGGGTTGTCCGCCAAGTGCAGAAGCATTGCTCTATGGTGTTTTGCAATTACAACGAAAGATTAAACGATATGATACATTACAAAAATGGTATCGAAAATAAAGCAAAAGCAACCGATATAAAATCTTATTACATTAGTCTTATTTTCCAGTTTCACTGATATTCGACACTTTTTTGTTACTTTATTTTCCCTGTTAGCTTTTTTGTTTTTCTTTTTTTTCTTTTCTCATTGTGAAAAACGAGTGTAAATAGAATCATATATATATATTTGGTTTTTTTTAATCTTGCGTAATTACAAGACCAATCATAGTTGCCTTGTCATGATTTACATAATTTCAAAATGGATCATTTATATTTAGAAAGAAAAAAAAATAAAACAAAATAGATTCAGATCATAATGCCAGTTACTATGACTTATTCACCAGAGATTCTTTGTGAATTACAAGAAAATACTGAATCTATTCGTAATATATGTATATTGGCTCATGTTGATCATGGCAAAACAACATTAGCTGATGATTTACTTGCTTCGAATGGAATTATTTCTACACGTTTAGCTGGTAAAGTACGTAAAAACAAAAAATATGAATTATTAGAAAAGAAATACATGTTAATGTTTATGATATTTATATTCTATAGTTACGTTTAATGGATAGTCTTGAAGCAGAACAAATTAGAGGCATAACTATGAAATCTAGTGCCGTTTCACTTGTTCATGAAAAAGGTTCTTTGAAGTTTATTAGTCAATTTAACAAGAAAATATAATTTTAATTTATTTAGATGATAAAAAATATTTAATCAATCTTATTGATACTCCAGGACATGTTGATTTTTCATCAGAAGTCTCAACTGCAGTTCGTCTCTGTGATGGTGCAATTATTCTTATTGATGCTGTCGAAGGAGTTTGTCCACAGGTACACAAGAAACTCTTCTAAGTAATAGATCGACAGAATTAACAAGCAAAGATACGCTCAAAATTGTTGCATAGATGAAATTTTTCATCTATACAATCCAAGGATAGGGGCGTGTTTAGTTGCATTACTAGTTATGGAAAAGTTTATGAGTTTGATATTTCATCAGAAAATGGTTATGTTGCAAAAATATCATTTTTTCGATAAACTTTGATCAACGGATTATGAGGTCGACAAGTGCAATTCGATGATTCATTGTTGGACATATCAGCGGCTTTGATTTTTCCCAGTAAGGTATATATAGATCGAACTCATAAACTTTTCCTTATCTAGCAATGTAACTAGCCGGTAACGGTAGTTTTTCTTGCATAATTACTATCAGGATTAGTCTATCCAAACTGATTAATACCAAATGGCGTTGGTATTGTGATAGGTTTATGCAAAAGAATCCTTTTAAACTAAGACTTGAGCAAAGTCTTTCTATTATGTATTGTGAAAAATGACTGAAAAATTGAATTCATTTTTTGGTATAGACTTTGGCAGCTCTTCGACAAGCATGGCTCGAACATTTGCGTATTATTCTTGTTCTTAATAAAATTGATCGTTTAATAGTTGAACTTAAAATGAGTCCAATGGAAGCTTATTTTCATATTCGTTCTATTCTTGAACATTTAAATGCTGTTGTTGCAGAACAATTTGCATCATTATTATTCGAAAAAAGTGTATGTTATCATAAACAGTATATCATTGATTTATTTCTCATCATATGTGTGTTTTTTTCTTTTTCAGATTGATCAAGAATTTGTAGAAGAGGTTAATATTTAGATTTTTAATCAAAACAATTTTTCATATTTGTTATAGGTTAAGGTCAAAAATGAAAATAATAATGATAATGAAGATGATGATGATTGGACACGCAATGAATCTCGAATGTGTTTTTCACCGCATTATAATAATGTACTTTTTGCTAGCGCATTAGATGGTTGGGCGTTTGGGTATGTTGATAATACTGATAGTTTTGATCTAAAATATTTTGGATTTTTTTTCTTGTCATAAATAGAATTCATCATTTTGCGGATTTATATTCAAAAAAATTATCCATTAAACGCGAAGTATTAATGAAGACATTGTGGGGTGATTTTTATTTTGATAAAAAAAGTAAACGTGTTTATAAAGGTGCACAAGTAAGATAAATATTTTTTTGTTAATTTAAATCAAATATTAAAAAAAAATAAATAAATTATCATTCTTTTTATTTGAAGAGTAAAGGTCAAAAACCTATGTTTGTTCAATGTATTCTTGAAAATCTTTGGAGTGTTTATGAGACAATTATAATTCGACGGTTTAGATTTTTATTCTTTTTTGTTTTTAAAACTAAATGACAATGATTATTTTTAGAGATAATGAAAAACTGGAAAAAATTGCTACATCAATTGGTGCTAAATTAACTCCACGAGATATACGACATACTGATCCATATGTTCCATTACATCTTCTTTTCAATCAATGGTTACCTATTGCTTCAGCCGTATTTGGTTAGTCAATGTTCAACGAATAACAAAAATTAACTTTATTTATTTATTTTTTCTCTAATAGATATGATTGTTGTGCAACTTCCAGATCCAAAAGCATTAAGTATAGAAAAAATTGAACAATTAATGTGTAATAAAAGTCGTCGATTTGACACATTGTTACCAGAAACACAACAATTAAAACAAGGTAAAAGTTTCACTTACATACTATTAATATTCAATATGAATTTTTCTTTAAAGCATTTATTAATTGTTCAAGTGATGATCAAGAACCAGTAATAATTTATGTATCAAAATTATTTTCTGTAAATCATAATACTCTATCACAAAATAAACTTAAGTTAGATGAATTTGTCTTGTTTTTTTTCAAAAAAATAAAATATTATTTTTCAATAGACCCTTAACTGCTGAAGATATAGCACAACGACGTGAACTTCTTAGACAAAAACAACATGATAAAACGACCATCAATGAAGAATCATCAACTACACAAACTATAGAAAAAAATCAAACTACAACAGAAAATGGTACTACAAATCCAGTGGAAACAGAATCAAATGAAAATACTGATGAAAATATGTTTCTTGCTTTTGCACGTGTCTATAGTGGACGATTAAAACGAGGACAAAAAATTTTTGTTCTTAGTCCTCGTCATGATCCAACATTATTTGTTGGGAAAGTAAGATTGATTGTCATTAAAAAATATATGTCATCGGAAGAATATTTTTACATGAAAAATAGTAGAGTGATTTCATCGTGTATATGTAACATGTGTACGTCGAGTTCGTCTAAATCGATTTTTATAGTTTAAATCATGTAGAGCATAGGCGATTTAGTAACTATGATGACAAAAGATCTGCTGCATATTTTTATTTTGGAAAGATTCGTAATTCATAAAATTGTAGCAAAAATGCTTAGTACTATATAAAAACACTACGAGAAAGGTTAAAATGTTGTTCATCATATATCTCTAACGCTAATATATAACAGTTTTTGAAGGAGTGTTATATAGGATGTCAATTTAGTATGAAAAGATTACCATGTAATAGCATATATCTTACATATACTGTTTATTGGATTATTTATGATAATCTTTTCGTACTAAAATAATATTTTATTTAGTACTCCTGCAAAAAGTGTTATATATCAGCGTTAAAGCTATATAATGATGATGCACATTCTAGCCTTTCTCGCAATATTTTCATATAGTATTAACCATATTTTGCTAAAAGTTTATGAATTGCAAATCTCTTCCGAATAAGAATTTATATCAGATCTTTTATCATCATAATAAGTAAATCGGCTATGCTCTACACACTCAATGTAAACGTGTCGCATATACTGTGAAATCATCCAATATTTAATAATGATGAAAATTTCGTTTTTGTTTTTCTTTCATTTAGGATCTTAGTCATGTTTCTGCTCATAGCATTTCTCCTCACGTACAAGAATTTATTGTTCAAGATTTATATTTAATGATGGGTCGTGAATTTACTCTACTCGATCAAGTACCTGCCGGCAATATAGTTGGTATGTATATTATAATTCATAATTTATGAAATATCGTATTGATCAAATGCTTTCTTTTTTAAATTTAGCTATTGCAAAATTAGATTCTCTTGTTTTAAAATCAGCAACTTTATCAACAAATATATTTTGTCCATCATTTACTGGTCTTCACTTTGAGGCTTCGCCTATTGTTCGTGTAGCGATTGAACCAAAAAATCCCGGTAAACTTTTTTTTCTTTTTACTCGCAATATAAACTTTTTCATTTATTTATTTATAAAGCTCAAATGAAACAACTTCGACATGGGATGTGTTTATTAAACCAAGCTGATCCTCTGGTCGAATGTACACTAAAAGATACTGGTGAATATATTCTTTCAACAGCTGGTGAAGTACATTTACAACGATGTATCGATGATCTTACTAAAATGTATAAGTTATTTTATAATGAAAAAAAACATAATAGAATTAATGTTTGATATTTATTTATATAATAGATATGCTCGTATTGAAATCAATGTTTCAGCACCGATTATTCCATTTCGTGAAACAATTATACCACCACCTAAAGTTGATTTTCTCAATGAATCATTAGCAAATCAACAGCAACAATTCAAAACAAATAAGTTTACGAAAGAAAGATCACTATGGTTATTAGGTATTTTCATATATGAAATAAAAATAAGATCATACTTACATTTTTCTTTTCTCATGTTTTATTTAGAGGATGGTTTAGTTGAATTAAGTACTCAAAATCGTCAATGTACATTTCAAATTCGAGCAATACCATTACCTAATGCAGTCACTCATTTACTTGATGAAAATTCTTCATTACTTGCAATTATTGAACAAACTCAAGGACGTGATGATAGAAAAGTAATTGCTCAATTAAATGATCAAACACTTGATCGAATTCGACAATTACAAGAACGTTTAAATGAAGAATTTATTAACGCTAATGGAAATATGTGGAATTCAAATACTGTTGATGAAATATGGTCATTTGGTCCACATAGATGTGGACCTAATCTATTACTTAGTCGTATTCCAAATAGTATTTATAAACAACGTGGTTCATCTATTTGGACTATTGCACTAAATAATCAAATGAAAACAAATATAAATTCATCATTAACAAAAGATGATTATGATTTAAGTATTATTAATGGATTTCAATTAGCAACAGCTAAAGGATCATTATGTGAAGAACCTTTAATGGGTGTTGCATTTATTATTGAACGATGGGAAATTAATACGATTGTTAATGATGAAAATAATGATGAACAACAAAGTACAACAGAAATTAATAATTCCGATCTTCCAACAACAACAGCAATAGCTGCTGTTGAGGAAATAGAAAGTTTAGTAGAAACAATGAGTATTACAAGTGATGAATCATCAACATTAAATACTCAACAAAAACCTCGCCGTGTTGTTGATAAATCAAAAATTTTAATTAAACGTGGACCACTTTCTGGTCAAATAGTATCAACTATACGTGATGGTTGTCGAAAAGCATTTGATTCACAACCAAGACGACTTGTTGCAGCTATGTACAAATGTGAAGTTATGGTTAATGCAGAAGCATTAGGTAAGTGAGGAAAAAACAAAAACTTTTGTTGTTCTTTTTTTTTAATCATTTATTTAAATAGGTCGAGCTTATGCAGTTTTAAATAAACGAAATGGACGTGTATTAAATGAAGATATGAAAGAAGGCACGAGTACATTTATTATAACAGCTGCATTACCAGTTGCCGAAAGTTTTGGTTTTGCTGAAGAAATGCGTAAAAAAGCAAGTGGTTTAGCATCACCACAATTATCTGGTAAAACATATTGGGAAATTATTGAACTTGATCCATTTTGGGAACCACAAACAGAAGAAGAATTCTTACATTTCGGTGAAAAGGCTGACTTTGAAAATCGTGCTAAAAAATATATGAATGATGTTCGTCGACGTAAAGGTTTAAGAGTTGAAGAAAAAATTGTTGAACATGCAGAAAAACAACGAACATTTAAGAAAAATAAGTGAATATTGTTTTTCTGTGCGTGTTTTTCTTGTTGATGTTTTTTCGTTTTTATTTTTTTTTTGGAAAAAATTTATTTATAATGATAAATATCCGAAAAAAAACAAATCTAATTTTTTATTGTTTATATTTTGTAATAATTAATATTCCGTATAGGATCGAACTGTTAAGAATGAAATCAATGTGATATTATGATTTGAGAGTTAGAAGATGACAATTAGAAAGTTTTAAGTCAATTAACAAAAATGCCTTGAGCTTTTTTACGAATAGTTTGCGATTCTTATTGAATCACATTTTTAACATTTTTCAGACCATTTCTGCTATTCGCTTACAAAACAATATTTCTTCTTTCAAAATGATAAGAATTACATTAATTAGTATTTTTTCTCTTGTATTCCTTATTGTCTTTAGAAGAAGAAAAAAACTTCATTTTCAAGCAAAGCTAATTTTAAAGTAGTTCATATTGACATTAGAAGCTTGCCTTATTATTTTCCCTTATAATGATTGTGTTAATGATAAAATATCATTGAAGTATGCCATGTATCTATATATTGAATAGATTCGAAGATGTTATTTAAAACTTAGAAAATGATAGTTAGAAAAATCAAACTGAAATAAAAAAAATTCGTCGGTTATAGTTTGATTCAGTTATACACAGTATTTTGCTTTTCTCTTTCTTCTGTTGTGTTACCATACATAGATGACACGTACGATATACATATATATGTGTTATAATCTGCATATTCGTCAGATCCAGTCATAAGGATTTTCCCATCTCTATCTAAAGGATTATACAATATGGTCTTATGTTCTTCTTCTTTTCTCTCATTATTAGTCATGCACCATGGATTTTTCCTTTCCTTTCATATATGTTGAAATTTTTCTTAGGAATTTTCCAACGCTTGTTGTCATTCTATATATAGCGTTACGTTGTTGTGTAGAGAGGGATTGAATATAGACAGTTATACAAATAAAATATAAGTGGAATTAAGATCGAACAATATGTTCTCTTCTTTTTTCGTCTGTTGATATAGCTAAGGTATTTTCCGTTTCGTTCTAACTATGTTTAGCTTTTTCCAACTTCATTAGTATACAAAACGATTATTTTAGAAAAGTTAAGACAGTTAAAAAAGTTGTGATTATCGACCTGTGTGTTCGAAACACCTAGCTAACATCATCTCACTTATGAAAATTATTTTAACTAGTTTCATACAGTCTTTCAATATTTTAGATAATGACTGCAATTCTTATACAAAATACTATTGTTTCTCTTATCGTCACCAGTATTACTTTTGCTGTTGTTTTTATACTTAATTATTTAAATAAGAAAAATTCGATTACTACCGAAGTTTCTCGAAAAGTAGTTCATATTGGAGCTGGAACACTTTATCTTGCCCTTTATTTCTATAGTGATTATGGATATTTTTCAAAATATTTGAATATATTTCCATATTTTCTTTGGACTAGTATACTTCTGTGGAAGAGTCAATCAAAATCTTCTGTTCAACAAAAAGATGATTTCTTGGTAGGTATAATAACAAGAAATCATCGTCAAAGTGAACTTTTACGTGGACCACTATTTTTTAATATTGTTATCATCATCTGTGGTACTGTTTTATATAAAACAATACTTGGTTCTATGATTATGGGTATATTAACATGGGGAGATGGTTTAGCTGCTGTCATTGGTGTTCGATATGGTAGTCGACGAAAAATTTATCGGACAAAAACATTAGATGGATTATTGACTTTTTTTATTGTTGCTATCATAGCTTCGATTATTTATACATCTATTCTTGTTGATTTTCAATCAATTTGTCTGTGGAAAATTTGTACGATATCTTTTGTTACAGCAGTGATAGAAACTTTAAGTCCATCTGATATTGATAATTTAACTATTCCCTTATCTATCATTATTTTATATTATTTTTTATTTTAATGAAAAAAAAAATAAAACATAAATTCTCATCTATTTTATTCTAGATGTTACAACCATTAAAATATATTCTTCAACAAAAACGAATCATATTAGCTAGTGGTTCACCACAACGTAAACAATTACTTCAATCGATTGATTTAAATTTTGATATAATTATTTCTGAGTTTGCTGAAGATCTTGATCCTTCATCATATAAAGATAATCTTTCTCAATATGTTATTGATACAGCTGAACATAAATGTCATCATGTCTATCAACAAATTA